CCCCCCCAGGGGATGGCGTCTATCAGAAGGGGATGGATTTCATCCTGGAGAAGCTCAACCGCGGGGACTGGGTGCACATCTTCCCTGAGGGTAACTCCGGGCAGGGGCCGTGGGGGAGGAGCTGGGCACAGCCCCCTGGGGCGTGCTCATTTTGGGGGAGAACAGCATTGGGGGTAGTGGGGGGCGAGGGGTAGGACTGTGCTGCACGGGGGGGGGGGGGGGGGCACTGCGGAATAGCCGGCCCGGCCGGGCAGGGGGGGGTGGAGGAGCCCTGATTGGGGCCCAACCACGGTTGGTGGGGGGGCCATCAGGGGGTCTCCTTGTGTCTCCCAACCCACCTCTCTCTTCTCACTCCCAGGCAAGGTGAACATGAGCCAGGAATTCATGCGCTTCAAGTGGGGTGAGTGCATGGGGGGAAGGGGAGTGGGGAAGGGGGGGGCTGCCCTTTCTAACCCCTCCTCTCTCTGCCCCCCAGGGATCGGGCGACTCCTGGCCGAGTGCCGGCAGCACCCCGTCATCCTGCCCCTCTGGCACGTCGGTGAGGCTTTGCTGGGCCCCCCAAATCTCCTGTCAGCCAAGGGGAAGGGGGGCTGCTAGCAGGGGGGATATGGTGGGGGGGGTTGGAGAGCATGGTGCAGTGGGGTCATTAGCTGGGGGCGGTAGTTAGTTGGGAGCATGGGGCTGGGGAGCATGGGGCTGAAAGGGCCGTGGCTGGTTGGGGGAGGGGGGCATGGGGAGCGTGGGGCTGGGTGAGCCGGGTTAAGTGGATAAACTGCAGGGGGAGTGGGGGGGATTGGAGTCCCCCCCCCACGTCTCTAACATTCTCCCCCCCAGGTCTGAACGATGTGCTGCCCAACACCCCCCCGTATGTGCCCCGTGTCGGCCAGGTGGGTATTGGGCTGCCTGCTGGGGGTGTGCGGAGTGGAGCCCTTTCCCCGCCCACTGCACTGGGTAGGCCCTATGTAAACATCAGCTGGGGCGGGGGGTGTCGGAGGTTGGGAGCTCCCTGCCATGGGTCGGGAGGCAGGGGGGTGGCTCTTCACGCTGGGGGGTGGGTTTGGGGGGAGGGGGCAGGGGCAGCAGCAGGGTCCCCACTCACCCTCGTGTCCCCCCCCCCAGCGGATCACTGTTCTCATCGGGAAACCATTCAGCGTCCGGCCCGTGCTGGAGCGTCTCCAGGCTGAGAACAAGTCAGCGGTGAGCTGGGGGGCCATGGGGGGGCCCTGTGTTTGTGTGGGGTGCAGGGAGTGACCCATGGGGAGGGGGATAGTGACCAGCTGGGGGAGACCTGGTGAGTCTGGGGGGCAGTGTCTTGGGTGTGGGGGCGTGTCTGGGTGTGGGGCAGTGTGTCTGGGGGGCGTGTCTGGCGGGCAGGGTGTGGGGGTGTGTGGGGGTGTCTGGGAGCCCTGACCCCCCTGTTCTCCCACAGGTGGAGATGCGCAAGGCGCTGACGGATTTCATCCAGGGCGAGATCCAGGCGCTGAAGGGCCAGGCCGAGCGGCTGCATCAGACGTTCCAGTGGCAGAGATAGCCCGGGGGGTGGGGGTGTGTGGCTGGCCTCCCTGCCCCACAACTCCACCCCACACACCGGCCTCCCTGCCCCACAGCTGTGCTCCACATGCATGCTGGCCCCTCCCCTCTTCCCCACATGGTGGCGGGCCGGCCCCTCCCGCCTGATACTTCTGCCCCACATGCCGGCGGGCCGCTCCCCTCTGCCCCACACGTCAGCAGGCCGGCCCATCTTCCCCGCCCCACTCACTAGCAGGCTGGCACCTCCCTGCTCGACACCTCTGCCCCACATGCCAGCCGTCTGGCCCATTCCCCCCTCCCCCCCACCCTACTCACCGGCAGGCTGGCCCCTCCCAATCTGACACCTCTGCTCCACATGCTGGCTCCTCTCCTCTGCCTCACATGCCAGCCAGCTGGCCCATTCCCTGCCCCACTCGCTGGCTGACCGGCCCATCCCCGCCCCCCGTGATAGGAGATTGCCCCATTGCTGGGGCTGCCCCTCACCCGCCATGGGGCAGGGTCTGGCTGAGCAGCCCACATCTGGGAACCGCCTGGAAGCCATTGGAGCCTCCTGTCCCCCTGGACTCTTCCTGTGGCCCCCCCGGACCCTACCAGTGAAGGCCTTACAAAGGGAGGGCAGCCCCTGAGGGGCTGCTGGCCACACCCCATCCAAGCTGTGGGGGCCCTGCTGGGTCAGGCTGGATTGGAAGGGGTGTTTCCTCCTGGGGGGGGAAATACCCCCACCCCCCGACATGCATGGGGGTCAAAGTGGGCTGCTGGCTCAACTCCCCTAAATCATGCAGAAAGACAATGACTTGCATGAGTCAGGATAGGGGGGCCCCCAGCACCCCCCTTCTCCTGCTCCCTGCAGTCCCTGGCACCCAGCCCTCCCCCCCATTTTTTTTACTCTGGACTTTTCCAATAAAGGATTTTAACCCTGATGTCGGAGTGGAGACTGTCCCAGGGCTGGGGGGTGGCATGGGGGGCTGAGGGTGGGGGAGCTTGGTGTCCGGCTTAAGGGGGGAGGGATCTGGGCCAGGACAGGGGCTGCCCTCCTGCCCCTTCCCTCAGCCACCCCCCAGCGCCCAGGCTGGAGGCAAGACCTGGCTCTGGTGAGCGCCGGCTTAGCCAGCTGGTCCAGCAGCCGTGGGGGGCAGCCGCCCCGGTGCTTGGCAGGCCTGCTCCAGCCGAGGCACGGACGGGGCGCTGGCGGGGGGAGGGCGTGGGGGGGGGAGGAGAAGCCGGCAGAGCTGGTGGGCACCGTGCTGGCCGGAACGCGGCTGGGGCCTGCGAGCCGGCTCCGGCCCCCCGTGTTTGTAGCACCCCGGGGCTGTGACTCGGTTTCCCCACCCGCCGGGTGTGCAGGGGTTCAAGTCTCCCTGCGATGGGGGGTTGGGGCCTGACCCCCAAGTAACCCTGGGGGCTGAGCTGCTGGGTCCTTCCCCTGTGGGGCCCTGGAGGGAGCAGCCCCCAACATCCCCTCTCCTGGGGGCAGCCCCCCAACATCCCCTGGGGCGTAACGGGGCGCTGCCATTGGCTGGCTCTCCACTTCCCCGCGCTCTGATTGGTCGCCGTCGGCGCGGCCCGCGCTGTGATTGGCGGGGTGGGGCGGCCATTGCTGTGATAGGCGTAGCGGGGCAGGGCAGCCCGCGCTGTGATTGGCAGGAGGGGTCAAGGGGCGGGGCGGCGGCAGTGGCCAAGGCCCGGTGGCGGACGCGGGTGGGGACAGTGCCCAAGATGGCGGCGGCGCAGCTGGTGCTCGCGGGGCTGGTGCTGGGGGCGGCGCGCGCCGAGCGGGTCCCGCTGCTGGGCTGGTCCGGCCACAGGTGGGGGCGGGGCCGAGCGGGGCGGGGGC